AAAAAGGATGCAGCCTGCCTAAACAGGTGGTTTTTAGGGTCTTCGGACCTTTCACCACTTCAGGATCATTCAGGTCTGAAAATCCTGAATGGTCCTGAAGTGGTGAAAGCTCCGAACACCCTGAAAACCATCTGTTCAGGCAGGCTGCATCCTCAAGTCGTGAAGTGAAGGGTGGTTTTCATGGTCTTCGGACCTTTCACCACTTCATGACCATTTAGGATTTTCGGACTGCCCAAAACTCTTACTTGACCACTTTAGGACACCCTTCACCACTTCAAAATGCAGCCTGCCTAAACAGGTGGGTTTCAGGGTGTTTGGACCTTTCACCACTTCAGGACCATTCAGGATTTTCAAACTGTCCAAAACTCTCACTTCATAATTTTCATTCCTGGATTTTCAGTCGCCCGATAACCGCTTGTGAGCAGTTTGGGACCTGTGGGGGACATTTTGGGACATCTTGGGATATTTTTGGGGACATTTTGGGACATTTTGGGCCATCCGGGGGCATTTCTGGCCTGTTCCAAGGTGACCTTTTTCTTTACATATAAAGCACATTTGCTAAGTCTTCGACTCTTCGCGATCTTTTTTAAGGAGGGCACCAGTCTGGTTGCTTCTACCCGGCCCGGATGAAGTCACAGAGAATGGACATATTGAAGCCATAGCATCACAAGGTAACGACTCGAGCAGTGGGAGACTACTTCAAGTACTCACTCCTACCCTGTTGGCCTTGGTTAACTAAGCTACAAATATCCAACCCTGTTACCTCATCTAGTAAAATTTTTAAATTTTAAATTTCAAAAGTCACAAGTCTCAACAAGAATGATCATTCAGGACCAACAGAGTTCAAACTGACAGGAGGTATTTCCCTACCGTCTTCACCCGAAAATAGCGCCCGGTCGTTGTGTACAAATATATAAATCCCGCCGGGCGTTATATTCGTTACGCCCGGGCATTATATTCAGTAAATTTGTGGTAGCTTCGGTGAGGCCCCAAAATTCTGAAAAAAAAAATAAATCAAAACACTCTGTAAAAAAAATATGTTTTCCAGGATTGCAATGCGACCAACTTTTGGCTGAGGGTCACTTCAGAAATCCTTATAAACTCGAAAATAAAAAATAAAAACAAAAAATTGAAAAAATCAAACTAAAATATAGTAATATACCCCTTGGAAGTCAAAACCCCATTCAACCCTCTTCAAAACCCATGTATACCCCCTTCCCCGCCCTTTAAAACCCGTGTATCCTACAGATTCCTACGTCTTCAAGGCACTCTGCCCATGGAACATTCACATATAATGCCCGAGCGTTCTATTAGAAGGGGCGTTTTATTTGAAAAAAAGCAAGTAAAACCAAAAACCTCATCTTTTTAGGGTAAGCTGAATATAACGCCCTGGTGTTATTTTCGGATAAAGACGATAGTGCCGGAATGGTACACAGTACTACACACATACCCCCTTCCCCGCCCTTTAAAACCCATGTATCCTACCTGTTCAAGGCACTCTACCCATGGAACATTCACATATAACGCTCGGGCTTTCTATTCGAAGGGGCGTTCTATTTGGAAAAAAAAGTGAGTAAAACTAAAAATCTCATCTTTTTAGGGTAAGTTGAATATAACGCCCTGGCATTATTTTTGGATGAAGACGGTAGTGCCGGAATGGTACACACAGGTAATTGTTGAGAAACAGATCACGAGTTCAAACCGCACACCCTTTCTTGGCATAGAAAGCAAATCTGCTAGAGAACGATGATTCAGGACTGGTCGAGTTCAAGCTTCAAAGTTCAAACTGACAGGAGGTAATTGTCTAAGGGCATACTCACACTGCGACCCCAAATCCGCAAAATCCTCAAAATATGCGGATTTGGGAAAGGCCGATATGAGGTTTTGGGAATGGTTCACGACACACTGTTGTAACTTTTCAGAAGGGACAAGGTCGCGACCGTCTCGAGAAATAGAGATTTGGTACTTGGCTGGTCACAGGACGCCATCCACAAACTGTGCAAGAACTTTTGTGAACGAATTTTTGCCAATTTTTGAAGAAAATGCGGAAAAAAAGGCATACTGGAGGTGACCGCAAATTCCCTTGCCCGGGGGCCTCCCAGACCGCTGACAAATGGGCACACCAATAGTAGATTTGGTACTTCGCCAAATCTGTGTGATCAGCCTGCTACCCTTTTGGGGGGGGGATTTGGGATCATAGGTCCCAGTGTGAGTATGCCCTAATGCCGGAATGGTGCACACAAGTAAATGTTGAGAAACAGATCATGAGTTCAAACTTCAAAGCTCAAACCCTCACAGATGCAAAGAATAATGTAGGTTTCAAATTTCATCAGTACTTCTAAAAGAGAATTTGGAAGGAGGGGGATGAACCAAGCCCAGCCGACAAAAGACTCCAGTAGCTCAGAAAGAAAAACAAGCAAAAAAAAAAAGGTTCCGCGGCGCACCTAAGAAGGGAAGAATTCAAAATTGGATTTTGTCAGTGCAGGCTGTGTGCACTTCTTTTTTCAGGGCATAACACACTACAACTTTTGGGCCTGAATCAGGCTTCATTTGTGGTCCCGGTGCACCCAGGAAAGTTCGAGTGCGAGTTTGCTCTTAGATAATGGAGAGGCAAAGGTACACCACAATCAATGGCAATCTCTTCAATTAGCTACCGATATGTTCTTAGTCGAAACGCTTTGAGAGATCCAGGGAGCTTTGCTTTTTTTTCTTCTTTTTTTTCCAGAGAATAGCAGAAGGACTCGTTGAAGCAAATTCTGGATATTTAAAAAATTAAACAAAAGTACGATGCAGATATTCAGTAGTAGTATGGCTAGATGGGTAAGAATTGTGGGCAGCAACCAACACCAACCTTTAGTGCTGCTTCAAGCATGGGCATGGCCTCCGCAAGGTCCATTTCTGTTTCATCACGTATCGCTTTTGCTGCTGCTGCTGCCTTGCTGGCTATGTCTTCCTCCCCTTTCACGACCACCCGTACTTTGTTCGCCTCAACTGTCTCTTCATCTACGTTCTGTGCAGGCAAAATCAGAGGGAGAAAACTTTCACTTTTGATTTCACTTTTGCCTTCACTTTTGATTTCACTTTTGACTTGACTTTTGATTTCATTTCACTTTTTTTGTTTCACAAGCCAGTTAAACCATCACTAGCTTTCTAGTATATGGGGCAGTGGGCCTCTCAGTTCAATGCAAATTATAGGCAGCCGCATGCCAGCAATTTTTTTGGAGTAGGCTCATTTTACGACTTCGTGTCACAGCCAGAAAGATAGTGTTACTTTAAACCACCAGTACTTGGCCCAGCTATCGATGCCGAGCCTGGAATGCCCCTGTGCGCCAATTTTTGTCAAAGCGCCGGGGTACCGTTTCAATTTTTTTTTGGCTGGCGCTTCCAGCCATTGTGGTCCGGTACCCCGAAGCCCTAAAGGCGCAGCGCGTTAATGGGGAAGCGCCGCGGCCGATAGCTGGGCCAAGTACTGGTGGTTTAATACTCGGAAACAAACATTTTGCCATGGATGGATATGGGAAACAGGGCCTCGCTGCACTACTCAACCCCCCCCCCGATTTTCGAAGTGAGTACTCACGATGACGAAAAGGTCACCCGTACTCGTCAGCGATGCACCCGCCCACCCCAAATGTACTCCGAATGGGCACAAAACAACAAACGGTCCAAAGCGGCCATCTGGACGGGAAATATTCTCAACGAGGGGTGACCGCTGGAAACGTCCCACCACATGTCACCCATTGCAGGTGAAGAAAACGGACTGTGAGGCGAGTAGTCGCCGAGTACTCACCATGCTCGGTTTTCCGCTATTTTGGCGTTCGGCTTTGTCCGGAAGGTGGAGTGAGTGAGTGATGTGAAGCAGCATTCACTGGTACCACTGTGAGGTGAGTAGTGCAACGAGGCCTATAATCAAGCGTTCAAGGGTGAGGTTCATACTTACTCAAATTCTTTGTCCCTGGCACTTTATCTCTGAAATTTACGGCCAGAAATCATGAATACAGGTAAGTCGGACCTTTGCTGTGGAAGCCAAGGAAGCCAAGTTTATCTGTCGTCCTTTCCTCTCTCTCTCTCTCTCTCTCTCTCTCTCTCTCTCTCTCTCTCTCTNTCTCTCTCTCTCTCTCTCTCTCTCTCTCTCTCTCTCTCTCTCTCTCTCTCTCTCTCTCTCTCTCTCTCTCTCTCTCTCTCTCATTCCCTGCTTTCTTCTTCTCTTTGCTTCTTTTTCTTTTCCTCTTCTTCTTTTCTATCTTCTATAATTCTATTCTCTTCGTTCTACTTTCTATTTTCTATTTCCTTCTCTTATCCCCTCTTCTTCCTTCGGATTTTTTCCTACTAATCTAATCAACTGAGATATGGCTTCACGCACCAGGTTCAGCCCACCTGCCGGCACAGCGGACTCACCCACACATGCAGAGATCACTCAAGGAAGGGATTGTGGCCTGATATCACTGCGAGGAAAATTCCATCGAACAGTAACCTCGTGCCAATCCAAGTTGGCATATCTCTTTTTTTTCTTTTTTCTTTTTGAAACAACCAGAGCGGTTGCTAGGGGTGCTGATAGGAGAAGACACCACCAGCTGGAAATCGGGCCCAGGGTCCCTGTAATGTACAATGTGATGAATGAAAACATGCAAGCAAGAGTTGTCAATATGCATGAGGGGGCCGGGCGGTAAAGAGCCCGACCTTACTATCGCGTATTGGCTGTCAGTTATGGCATATCTCCCTCAATCTCAATTGTGAGTTTATCTTTCATTAGATTTTCCATCCTGGCTTACCTTTTTTTTTTTTTTTTTTTAGTAAAACAGGTCCTTACTTACTTTTTCTTTTTTATTAATTTTCAGATTTCTACCCTGGCTCACTTACTTTCATGATGCTCTCCAGTTCATGGGTAGACTGCAGCAGCCTTGGCTTTAGTGCTTGGAGTTCAACTTGCATCAGATTTATCTCCTTTTCACTAGAATCCAGCTTGAGTGTACCAGTCTCATACCTGCAGCACCCGGAGATCATTCCAGGACAGTCAGACGTTGGATAGTAAATGTACACTACTGTTTTTGTTTTTTTGTCTTTTCCTTCTTAATAATAATCTAAATGTGAGTTAGGCCGAACGCTTCAAAAAGAATAAAAACCGAACGATCCCTTTTTTTTTAAATCTGTCTCCAATGACTCTCCATGAGTCTCCATTCCATTCTCGGGAACAATAATCCGTCCTTTTGCCGCAAGCAACTTTGTGGGGGGGGGAGAGGGGGCGGGGGGACAGCTAGTAAAGGGGGGGAAACAGTTAGTACAAGGTTACAAACAGTAACACCATGCACAAATTCAGCATGCGCACAGCCTCAGATCGGCCCCAGTCCGCCTGGCGGCCCGGGGTTGTGAAAACAGATGCCTGGCTGAGAGGAGAAGAAATAGTACAGGCCTTGTACCGCTTAGGCTAATTTCGGCAGGAGTGAGGGGTGGTACATCCTTCCTGTGGGAAATAATCAATGCCGTCCTCTCGGGCCTTCCAGCCACAATGGGAAGGAGCGTGGTGTGAGTGAATGGTCTGACCTTTGACTTGCCATTGGAAAAGGAATCGGAGTGACGCTTCCCAGAATGGACAAGGAGCCAGAACCTTAAGGTTCTGTTTTTGGTGAAACAAATCACAACCTCAGTGCCAATAGCTCAAAGACTCTCTCTCTCTCTCTCTCTCTCTCTCTCTCTCTCTCTCTCTCTCTCTCTCTCTCTC